GCTTTGGCTGTTAAAACAATATATACCCCCACCAGCTGTTGCTTTCACAATGTCTTAATTTCAGTCGAGTTATTTCTATGCGTACCTTCTTAGGCATCCCTTGCACATAAAAATTCTTTTGGAAAAGCCAGCATAAAAAAAAAAAACAAACTTTGGAAAGCCAATCAACAAATTACTTATATTGATTGGAGAACGTGATAACTAATCAGAATTTTAAAAAATAAAGCCTTGTTTTTTAAAACTATGACTTTAATTCTAATTATATATAAAAAATAGGTTATATATATATATATATATATATATATATATATATAGTTCGTTAATTCATTATAAACACACGCACAATACATATAGAGGGTGCGATGGTTAAATTGTCGCCATTTTATATTTTTAATTTCGGGCATGCGCGTTGTTTTTGATTTTGTCAACTGCACACTATAGTAGGGCCAGTTGGGCACCGTCTGTGAGAAAAAGAGCATCATGATGAAATTCACACCACCAGAAATTTGCTGCACTGCTTGGTATTCGCACCGGAAGATCAAATATGAACATTTCAGAGTGTTTGGGTGTCAATCTGAGGACAATGCAAAGGATTTGGAAACAGTTGGATGATATAACAAGTCAATGTCATGGTGTTTGGAATTATCACTAGTTATGGAGACATTATGCCTCCATTCATCTTCTCACAGGGCCTCAGACTCAACATGCAGGCCTACATAAAGTACTTTGAAGAGGTAGTGCTGACCTGGGTCAAGTGGGTGGCTGCTGGAAGACCCTATTTCTGGCAATAGGAATTTTCACAATGTCACACAAGCAGATGCACCCAGACATGACTGTCAGACAATTTCTGCGATCACATCACCACTTACATCTGACCCAACTCCGCATTCTGCAATCCCCTTAATTGTTACGTGTGGGGCGCAGTTGAGTGACAGACCAACAAAACTCCTTGCAGCACTAAAAATGAACTGCAGGTAAGGATTATGGTAGCATTCACCAACTCCACCATCCAAAAGAGTTGCAGGAGATTCCGAAGTCGTCTGGAGTCCGTAGTTGGAGCTAATGGCGATTTTATTGAATAAATTTACTCAAGTATTTTAAGATATTTTATGTAATTTTGGTAAATATATCTGTTAAAATGAGATGTCAGTGCTATTTACAATTTTGCGTAAATTAGACAATTTATCCATGTCACCATATATATATTATTTTTTAGTTTAAAGAAAAACAGACCACTTTAAGGCTACATTGCAATAATTTATTTCACCAGAGAATTTTATTTTTCTCTGGATCTTCAGACTTCACTTTCAAAAGGTGAAACGAAAAATGAATTTAAAATTTACACTTTTGACGAGCAGTATTAAACTTATATAAGTTGGCATAGAGGGTGGTGAGGGATGGTATGAGATATATGGTCGAGTTTAGAGAGGGAAGGGAAACTTTTTAAATTTATTTTATATTTCTTTTTATTATAATACTTAATATTGAGGAAGGAGGAGGTAAGGATCAGACATATATATATATATATATATATATATATATATATATATATATATATATATATATATATATATATATATATATATATGTGTGTGTGTGTGGTTTGATTATATGATATTATTAGGAAAAAATCATAATATCATGCAATCGAAAACTTCACAGAAGAAATGTCCTTGTTTCAAAAAACATTTTGAATCACATCTCAACACTGACCACACTACACTAAAGATGTCCGCAGAAATAGAAAATATACCAATATTTATCCAATCATATCAAAGTATGTATTTAAACATTAGCAATAATGAATGTACTGATAAGGAAATTAAGAAAGCTATTAAAAACTAAGGAATAATAAAGCCTCACTTGATATTGAAGTTGAATTTTTTAAAATAGCTTACTTTCTCCCCGAATTCAATAACAAGTTTCGCATTTTTATGAAAGAAATCTGGAATTAGAAATACATTCTCACAAAATAGGGTTTATCACTCATTAATGTATTATGGAAACAGAAAGGTAGCCCTCAAGACCATCACAAATATATTTATCTCAATTGGATCCATCATGGTGAAAGTATTAATAAACATTATATTAACTAATCTCCCATCGTTTTATTGAAGTCAATTCTTCAAACTAAGTTTGGTTTTCGTTCTAGTAAGGGATGTAATGATGGCATATATGTCATCAAAAAACACCAAGAAATTGCTTACCTATCTAATAGAAAATCGTATACCTGCTACGTTGACCTCACAGCAGCATATGACCATTTCAATTTCTTCTCGTTCATTAGAAACTGGCTTCCAAGCTCCGAATCCACTGAATACATTGATCTAATATAGGAACTGTATAAATCTACAAAATCTTACGAGGAACCCAATGCAGAACCATTTCAAACCCAGTCAAGATTATAATGAGGATGAAATGATAGCCTCAGTTTATCTCGACTATGATCAACGCGTTTACAAAACACAGATGTGAAGAAATGGGCACTGATCATTTATGAAATTTATATGACATCCCAAACGAATCTATCAATCGAAGACAACGATTCTGCTTTCCTTCCTGAGGACAATGTACCATTTTCCTTCAAACAAGTCTTGGTTTTAATCCTGCTTGGTGTCTAGCCACCTTCCCCTCCAGGAAATGTTATATAAATTCCTTCTAAGTCAAAAATCGCTTATCCTGATGAAGTTTCGGATAATGATTTTTTTTATTTGAAAGTATACTTTTTCGAAAAACTAATTTGGCGTGCCGAGTTCAAATTGCGACCGAGTTCGTTGCGTTTACTTTCGCACAAATATATTAAAGAAAAGTATGACTCATTCTCCTCCCCATCTAGGAGTAATTATTAGTTTGAGTCATAAATAATTTCCGTTTTTATGGACCAATTCTAATAACCAATGTATCATCCTAACTACTAATCATATGTGGGCGTTAAGAATAAATTTTGAGATACACTAACATACGACAATATTCAATGCAAGAGGCAGTGGATTAACAAGAATAAATCTCTATAACTAAGCCCCAAAATCTGAGTTCCATGAATGAAAGGTAATTTACATGCGTGTGGTGAGATCATCGAGGTATTATTTATCTAAAGCTCTTAAACGCAAGGAAACTCTAAATGTACATTTATATGTCCAGCAGCTGCAACGTGTCCATAAAAGTTTTTCGAAAAGCAGCGTGCGTTCGTCAATAAGAAAAATGTTCTCCATGATAACGCAAGGTTGGATACAGCAAAAAAAGAAAAAATTTGGAACTCGGTTGGTATGTTGAACTCCACCTGTCATATTTACCTGACTTTGCACAAAACCGATTATTACCTTTTTCGATCGTCGCAATACGCTTTGATGGATAGTTTTAAGGAAAAGCAGATTTGCGAGTTCATCGTAACCTTTCTTACATAAAAAAAAAACTGCGGAATTTTACTCAAAAGGCTTTGAAAAGTTGCCTGATAAGTGACAACAAGTCATTGCCAATCAAAGTGAATATATGATTAAATGTAATTGTACTTCATTATTTGAAGAATAAATTTGACAAACAAAAACAGAAATTATTTATGACTCAGCGTAATAGCAGTGTTGACTGGATTCTGTAGCTTTGGTCGTTAACCAGTCTTGGGATGGATTCAAAACCAGTTGGATGTGGGGCTGAAAACTTCAGCTTGTTAGACCTACTTGTTACAAAACCCCCGGCAGCAAGACCGAATGCAGTGAGTATATACCCGTATACTTCTCAGAAAATTCAAGAAATAGGACTGAGGAGGATGCTTGAAAAACGTGTGGGAGAAATATTTGGGTTTTAAGGGAAAACTAAGTCAATAAAAAAATAAAGAGGTAAGTATTTTTCCGAAATAAAATATCATTGTCTATCATAAAATACTCTACACATTTAAAAGAAATTTGAATTTTCTCGTAAGCCGTTGATAGCACGATCCTTTCAGGGATTACAACGAATCACTTTTTTCTCAACCGAAAATATCGACATGATTGGCATCTAAAGTATCAGATAGGACAGCACAGCATTGTCTCTCAAAGCATTAATACAAGAGTGAATTCGATCCTCACTGGGCTATACTTATGGCCTTGTGCCGTACTAGGTTTATTAAATACCCCTGAGATATTATGTCACAATAGTTAGCAGTTTAATTTACTAGTGTTGTGAGTTTGATCATATTGTCTATCGTATTAGTGAGGCATAAGACCCCAACAATATAATATTGTTATTAATGTATGGCATAGATTATTTACACTATTTACGTATGGACTAATGTCCTCATCTGTTTTTATATTTGATCTTCATCCGGATTCATCTACGGGGGGTGGGGCTGTTCTCCTTCCACTGCCCATGTCTAGTTCTTATTTTTAGTACTAAACACTGCCAGTACTAAATAATTTCTATGTCACCAAATTCACAAACTGACGCTTTAAGCTATTAGTCTATTGTCCTGTGGGACAATTCTCTGTGGAAAACTTGGAGCCTAATCTGCCTGCTGATGAATACAATTGCTGTTTTTGTTGTTGCTTGCAATTACTTATAAGTTATTCGGATCGACGTACACCTGATTAAGGGTGGAGAGCACGACGGCCAAAACGTTGTGATAAAAACAACAAAGATTACGACAATACTCTGCATGTAAATAGTGTCAATTATTAATTCCTCATCCCAGAAATTCAAACAGAAATTAATCTAGGTTTATTTTGGTAAGAAGTTACAAGTGTGAGACATCCAATGAGGATCGCTGATTGATTTGTTTTTACGGCTTATCAACCTTTTGCAGGTTATCTAAAGCCACAAAATATTTTTAGCTTGTAAGAATTTGAATTTGTTTTGGAGATAATATCGATTTACTGATGCTAGTCCTACTAATTATCCCATAGCTGAGGGGAGAAAAGGTGAATTTATACCCTTTTTTTTCTCAACGGTATCCGTGTGTGAGTGACTATAACGAACTCGACTCTCCGATAAACAATTCCGACCAGTTATCCATTACATCCCCCACACTACAGCACCTGGTATTCCCAAGAGAACACTCATCCAAGTACTGACAAGGCTCGATGTTGCTTAACTTCGGTAATCGTACGAGAATCGGTGTTTCAATGTGGATAAAGTGGTAAGCCCAATGAGGGTCGAACTCGCCATTCACTAATATATAGTGGTATATATATTATGAAATGGACAAAGTCCGACAATTGTTTTTTAATACGTTCTTTTTATAGATACAAATATTTAAGTAAATGTTCTGTTTATAATAAACAGTATTAACAACATTTACCGACCTGGATGTCCGAGAAATTTTCATAGAAAATATGCGTCCTCCGACAGGAATCGAACCTGTATCCTATACGGAACCATCATATAGCCTGACGTGCCTTTTTCCGATTGGTCCACAGAGGAGCGTTTCGGTTAGCAAGGTCGATTTTACTGCATTTAAACACAATTCTCCATGATTTTCTCTCATACATTCATATCTGCTCAATGCGTATCCAGATGTAAACAAATGACGTCACACGTTATGAAATGGACAAAATCCGACAATTATTTTTTTTTAAAAAGGACGTATAAACATAAAAAATGTTTTAAAAATAGTGATATATATTACACCACGGTAAAACATCATAGTAAATAATCATGTATTGAAAAGATATATGACTTAACTTGGATATTATCGCTTGTGAATTTGATCAGTACCGTGTGTTGAACTAGACTAATTTAAGCTTAGTAAATACTGGTAAGTTATGAAGATAGTTTTGCCAGTTATTCATCGTTAGTTCCTTTTTCATTTTATGCGGCCGATCATATGTAAAAAGTTTGTTAAATTCGACGGAACCCATTACAATATTTTGAAAGTCACCAAAAAATGCTCCCCCCCCCCAATAATGACACTTGTGGTTAAATAACTTAAATGATACTTTTTCTTTGTTTTACTCTTATTATTGTTCAGCCTACTTGGTTGTTGTTAATAGTTGCTTATTTTCCATCAACATCCCCAGCTTCAGGAATTTCGGATGCCAACTTTTAAGGCAGACAAGAAGTTACGCCCCATAGCAACACTGTCTCCCGCCTTAATATTTTAGCCTGTGCCAGACTTAAAAAGTAAATATCTACCCTTTACTGTTGGTTTCAGCGGCCATATATTCGCCTGTACATTGTTGTCGCAGGTCATTTTAAGACCGACGTCATTCACGTCTGACCATCACAAAGAAACCACTTCGATATACACCAATTACAAATCCAATTTTCTATAATATAAACATTTGGCACATACGAACGACCCAACCGCTGAGTAGACAAAATAAAAAGAAAAGACGAAATAACAGGTTCTTAACTTGCATAAAAACTGACGTTAGAACAATGGCTGACGTCATGATAAATGAGTATAAGTAAGTTGATACATGAAATGAGAGGGTGGCGTGAGGGTGGTTGGTGAAAATAAGAGTTTATTCTTATTGACACAGGTTCATGTATGAAACGCCCAAAGCTATAAAAAAGAGTCAAAGGAAAAGATGAAAATTTAGATTATTTTTTTTTTGTCTCGCGAACTTGAATGACTTGATCCAGGTCTAAAATGTCATTTATTGACCCACTTGATAAAGTCATGACGTTGAAGTTATCGAAGTTACCAGAAGTGTGTGTGTGTGTGTGTGCGTGCGTGAGTGAGAGAGAAGGTTAACTTAATTTAATCTTCCACCGCTAGTAATTTGGGGACATTTCTTTTGGACTACGCTGTAGGAAAATGATATAAAAATCAATAAAATAAAATAGTAATAATGAATAAGAAAAGAAAAAAGAAAAAAGATTCCCATGATTCTAGCAATAACGAAACCAGAAATGTTCTTACCCCCACTTGGTTTCGTCAGAACGTTCGTTATGTTGCGCTGTTTAAGACTATAAAAAGACAAGCATTTCCTTTTTCTGCCCCTTCCTCTTGCTTTAATTTGTAACAGACCTGGAAAAAGACGCTCCCGCTGGGACCCGTTCGCTTCCTCGGTCCATTAACGACTGAACTCTTTCCACTTTCCTTCGCATAGCGTTCGCATGTGTCTCCTGAAACCTCACCTATGAAGTAAATTAACCTTTCCTTTGATCGTACCAACTCAGCGCAATGCTGACTTGAGCTCGACCATTATAACTACGCTGACTCGCAAACAATGAATTAAGTACACACTTTTTTTTGATCGTTCCAACACTAAGCAAGGTTGACTTAATTCCCCTAACTTTTGGACCAGAAAAAAACCCCCAAAGACATTGAGAACTTTGTTTCACTACAGATTATATAAAAAAGAAAATAACCGGTCCGTAGTAGAAAAAAGAATTTGTATTATTTTTCTTAATTGCTTGCATGTGAATACGCACATTACCTACAATAGACACCAACACGCAACCTTTAAATTCTAGAAAGCTTTAGACATATTGCTTGGAATTATTTTAAGGGATGTCAAAGGGGTTCAGGCTGGTATGCCGACTTTATGTATACGTTCAATGTTTAGTCTCTTTTCCGTTCTTATTCGTCTATATTCCGCGTTTCTTCAGAACATGGGCGAAAATGGCTCTCCACGACTTCCTATTCACTGAAGCCCGTAGCAGTTTTTCTCCATTTTCTACCCCCCACGTCCCGCCATCCATTCACAAAAGCTTGTCAGCCTTCCCCTGTCTCTTATGCTCTCAATATGCCTTGTGAGGTTTAAGTTTTCTGTTACTTTGTCCAAACACGTCTAATATAAGATTATTTTCACTTGGAGGTTAATTTACCAACTCTAGCAACGACCTGCTATTAATTGGCACTTGTTCTCATAGAAGGCATTGTGTGTCATATTTTCATTCAAGAAAAATGTGGAACAAAGCCAGTAACATTTCGTGGGAGGAGGGCGAGATGTCGGTATTCCCAATACCAATAGTAATTTTGCGTGTTACATTCAATGATCTAGTCACGCAATAATTTCCCTTTCACTATAAAAATGTATATGGAATGTTGATCCAATTACAATAACCATAGACTTTGTGTGAGAAGGAAATGATACAGTACCAAGGAAAGTCCATATAATAATAATAATAAAAAAATTATATATTAATATGAAGGTGGACACCTAGCGGTCAATAACACAGCGGCTACAGTCTGTTTCATGCTTAAACGCAATCTTCAGTCCTGAAGATTGCGTTTTAGGAGGCAGATAAATTCATAAATAATATCGCTGTTCCTCTATAATCTTATTTATTAATGTACATGGCTGTTAAGGAACTGTTTTTTGATGAAACCAAATTCATGAATAATTATATTGGACATACCACTACACACCTATCAAGAAAACTCACGTTACATCTCTACGACAATAGCTCAATTAGGACACATTTAAACACACACGGAAATCTGCCAGACTCCATCCGCAACATACAAGTGAAAAATATAATCATAATAATCTTATTCACATGTAAAAAAAAAAACGGTTAAAATAATGTAAGCATTAACAATAAAAAGAGAAAAGTGAATATTCAAAAATGAACACGACCACAAAGTGATGGCAATGTTTGGGAAATAAAAAAATACATTCCCATCACTCTAGATATTTAGTTAAAAATAAAAAAAAAAATCTTGATAATGGTTCATACAAAATCCGAAAGCGCTCGGATATATAAAACATTTGGACAGTTTTTACACACTTTATATCCAGAAAAGAATACATACACATGTACAAATGCAAGAAAATTGAATATATATATATATATATGTGTGTGTGTGTGTGTGTGTGTGTGTGTGTGTGTGTTTTATTAAAAACGATTGAGAAAGTACTGCGGTTAAGTTTTTTTCTGTAATTTTTCTTGTGTTCTTATAATTTTCTTTTCTGGGCATAAATTATGTAGAAATTGTCCGAATTATCTGTATGTCCGAGCGATTTCGGCTATACTTTTAGTCATTATCAAGGATGATTTTATTTTTATTTTTAACTGAATGCATGAATTGTTTTATGTATGTATTTAGAGTTATAGGAATGTTTCATTTTCCAAACATTTTGTGGCCGTATTCATAGTTCATGTTATCAACTATGAACACGGCCGCAAGGAATGAAAGAACAAATTATGTGACTATTTTGTTCTTGTAGTGTTGTCCGCCCTCTAAAGCGTCTATGGACTCTTCCGCCTACTATAAGATTAGTAGGAGAGAAGGCCTTGGGGGAACAGTCAGAAAGATGCTGTAACCAAGTAAATGGATAAATAAATAACAAGTGTTACAGATATATCATATATTAAACAGTAAGTACAACAGAAGAGTATTACACCACTAGTGTGTTGGATGACCCAGCGTTCAATCTATTCGACTGTTCCCCCAAAGCCTTCTCTCCTACTAATCTTATATTAGGCGGAAGAGTCCAACATAGACTCTTTAGAGGGAGGACACCACAACAGTTCTTTCTTTCACTCCGAGAAACGGCAGCTTAGAGGAAAAATAATTGGCGATTTATTATTTAAGCGCGTGTGCGCGCACAACCCCCCCCCACACACACTTAGAGGAAGCCTTTGGTTAGTAAAGTCAAATTTCTTTTTTTAAACAAACAATTTTCCCACTATCTTCCTCTGCAGCTAAATAGTATAGCACGTCAAGACAAATGATGGTTCCGTGTAGGATACAGGTTCGATTCCTGTAGGAGGACACATATTTTCTACAAAGTTTCTCGGACATTCAAGCCAGTAAATGTAATTAATACTGTTTATTATAAACAGAGCCTTTACTTAAATAATTATATCTATAAAAATAACGTATAATCAAATATATATATATATATATATATATGTAAATACGTATGTATAATTTGTGAGAGAGAGAAGGAAGACAGGCAGGCCAACCCTAATAATGAAAATGGGTCCGAAACCTTCTAACCAAGATCTAGCCAAACAACAGTTTTTAAAGGCTCCTTAGTTATTTACCCTGCCCCCCCACTGAGATGTGATGTGATACAAGGTCGGGTTTAATGAGGGGGACCCGAGCGCGTACACCCAGCCGAGGTCAAAAAAATTGCCCAACCTCTGCAACCGTCGGTTGCGCTGGCATCGGTATGAGTACCGATCCACACTCTTTAGTCAATGGTGGGTTACAGCCTTTGAAAGGGTTCTTGGTCAGGTTGAGAACTTTTCATTAACCACTTTATGCTAATTTGACAGAGAAATTTAACCAGTCCAAATCTAATGCGTAGGCTTTTGGCGACATAAAATAAACGTAGCCAGAGGCATTTTTTTTCAGTCGAACAGACGAAAGAGAATCTACTATATCACCAGATAGTTTTGCTTTCTGTCGAGAATATTTGTTTACGTTAAGCTTTTAGCGTTGCATTAAACAGAGATGGGGTAATGGTCCATCCCTAAGCTCTTGCAGCATAAACCGCAGTGACTTTTCGATTTTTTCTTATGCCTCTACGTTGGAGTAGAGGCACTTTAAACCGACCTTGTGGTACATTTGCCCTCCTTAGAGAAGCAAATATATATACTAGGTGAGACTTAACTATTATTAGTTTACTAACAGGACTCATATAAATTAATCGGATTTACTAATAAAGTTTTTAATGCCCATCTGTGGTTTATACTGCAACTATGCTGAGCAGACCTTAGTCTGATCAACAATTTGAAGTTCAGCACGCTCAAGCCCTCGGCCACAATGATCTGTGACTTCGTGCCAGCACAGTTATCGACGTTCCAAGGGTTCCGTCTACCCAATTTCACTCACAAGGCGTGGTTTTCAGGCAGTTTGCGCACGCTGGGATCGACCCTCCAGTCCGATAACAGAAAGTTTTCTTCCTGACAAATCGACCATGGTGAGAACCGAACCCAGGTCTCATGGTTAGAATGCAAACGTTCTAACCACTCGGCGATGTGCCCATAAGAAAATTGACATAATCTCTCATAAAAATCCTGAAATGTCCTCAACAGGTCGTTAGGTCAGGAAAGCGCTCACTACAAACAACTGACTTTATATTCTAATATGGCCACCTTCCAAACCCTCTCTGTGTCACACTCTCTTTTTGTCTCTCTATGTCCCTCTCTCTTTCTGCTTTAATCTCTATTGCCTTACGGCCATATCACTTTGAAATATTGGTTCTCGTACGATCACCGAAGTTAAGCAACGTTGAACCTGGCCAATATCTAGATGAGTGACCGCTTGGGAATACTAGGTGTTGTAAGCTTGGATGAGCGAGTGGTGCAATGGATAACGGTTCGGAATTGTAAATCGGAGAGCCGAGTTCCAATTCCAGTCGGGTTCGTTACATTCACTTACTCTTATATACCCTGGGGAAAGGCATGAATCCACCTCTTCTACTGACAACTATGGGTTAATTAGTAGGAATTGTATTAGTAAATCATTATTATCTGTAAAAAGTTGATAAGCCGTAAAACACATCAATCAATCAATTTACTCTTTATATCCCTTTCTCTTTCCGTCTCCCCCTCAAACACTCAACACAGTCTGGGTTCCATAGGATTAGCATGACACACACATATAGGTAGTTATATGCGTATTAATATATATATATATATATATATATATATATATATATATATATATATATTCATACATGTTTCATTAAATAATATAGACAAGTGTTGTCTATTTATTTTATGTAAATTCTTTTCATAACGTCTGATAAGCTTAATAACATTATCATTAAACGAAGAAAGAAAATCACAGTATTGATACATATTTTTTAATCCAGTCTAAGCTTTCGGCTTACATAAGCCATTATCAAAGATGACAATTACAGTACAATATATTAAGCAATACACGGACAAGAATGTGATGATAGTCTGTTTCTGTTTACATGGAAGATTCAAAGCAACGACAAACTCGTACATATAAGACGCTGGAAGCGAAAATCGCACCGCAGCTCGTGACGACACATGACCACGCGAGAGTGAATTCGAGAAGTATTAAGTATGGGAAGCCGTTGGTATAAACCAATGGCTTCTGTTACCAATTATAGACATTTAAGAATATTTGTGGAGTTTATTTTGTTCAGGTTAGGTTTCAACTGTTTTATGTGTATAGCTTCAAGAATTTTGAGTTTTTGTTTATTGTTTTCATGTTTAAGTATAATTGTGTTTTCAACAAGGATTTTACGGAATTGCATATATATATATTTAATTCCTTTATCCTTACACGATTTTGTAGTGTATTTTTATATTTAGTTTAAGTCGTATAACGTTTAAGATCCTTCTTAAGTATCTTACATGCACATACCAGATTCCTCTAAATTATCAACAAAACTTGGAAATGATTGTTTTGAATTAGTACGAGATTTTTTTTATTATTTCACCACAAGGCAATAAAGCCATTAAAACACAAAGAGTTACTGAGTGAGAAAAAAGAATAAGAAAAAGAAAAAACATTATTAAGGAGCGAGAACAATAATAAAAAAAAGAAATAAAGACAGTCGATAACGATTGACATTTCCTTTAAATTTTTGAAGATCAAAGTTGACTGCAAAGAAGTCGGAAGAAAGTTTCACAGGCGAGAAAAGAAACTGTTAGCATAGAACTTATAGTTATATATAGCCATTTTAACTTTTAAATGATGAGACCTTGTTGCCAATCTAGTACTGCGTTTAAATTCATAAAGTCTAGATACCATAGAGGATGTTCAGCAGAAGAATTACTATGAAAGTATTTATAGAAAAGGGACGTGATGCTACATTACGGTGGTGTGAAAGTGACTGAAGCTGGGATGCCAAGTCAGGATCAATAACATTGCAGATAATCTTTGGATTGTATCAAGAATCTCTAAATATATAGCAGGAGCCCCAGACCACATGTGTCAGTAATATTCAAGGAATGCAATATTCGAACTACTGCACTTTTTCAAGAAAAGTACATGTATAACGAATATCTTATCATATCATATGATAACAAAGATTGTGTTTAGATGAAAAGAAAAGAAAAAGAAAGTGGTGGACCAGGGTATTAATGGAAGATAATGCTTTTAAGGTGAACTACTTTTTGTAATTACCGTGATCAATATAAAATAGCTGTTTCTCTAGAAATATCTTTTGCTTATTTCTAAAGTAAAAGTGGTGGCAGTATTAATTTGGTTCTAATTAAGATTAATTAATTAAAAATAATGAAAACAGTAAGATTTTACAAGTACAAAATAAGTACCTTAGAAAAGAAAAATTACATTAAAATAAATAGAGACTCATTGTTTTCAATATATCAATCATTATGGGGTTTCTGAGTGCTAGCCAGGTTGAATTAGAAAGCTCAAAGTATTGTTTATATTGGTTACCCTACAATTTATGAATAGGAAAAGACTGGGACAGACGTTAACAATAGGCATTACTTGATTGGCTGATCAATCGGAGAACGATTAGCCCCAGTTTTTTTGTGTTGGGGGGAGATAATTAGCTTTGTTAGAATGTTTCTTTTTTGTCGTTTCACCCCAAGCAAGTTGACAAGGTGGGTGGGGGTTACAGGGAGTGAAAGAGTTTGAGAAGACTGAGCATAAGGAGGGTTGAGGAAAGAACAAAAAAGGAACAGCGTTCAAGAAGGAAGAAGATGACGATTGACGTTGCATTTAAAATTTTTAAGACTGTAGTTAACAGGGAAGCAAGAAATCGGAAGGGAGTTTAACAGGTGGGAAGTGCGAGAATAGAAATTGTATTATCGTATAGAGTAGAAGCGGCGGTTGCATCTAGCAAGTTTAAAAGTAAAAAGGTGAGACCTAGTTGCCAATCTAGTAGCACACTTAAATTTATATAGTCGGGACACCAGGGAAAAAAAGATAATCAGAACAGTTGCCATGAAAATATTTGATTTGGTTTGGTTTGATTTATTTTACGGCATATCAACCACAATGGGTTATTTAATGCCGACAGCATTTTTGATGTTGGTAATATTTTCTTTTTTTTTTACAAAAATCTATTTCTGGTAACATTTTTCCTTCAAAAAATCCATTCCTGGTAATATTTTTTTCTTCAAGTATGTATCGCTGGTAATATTTTTTTCAAAGTATTTCTGTTTTTTTCCCCCTAAAAATGTATTGCTGGTAATATATATATATATATATATATATATTTACAAAAGTATTTCTGGTATTAAAACCTATTTTTACACTTTCATAGTGTTTTGACTCCAGTTTGGGGGTTAACTATTTATCCATAATTAAACCCTAACAATTGCTACCACCCCGAGCCAGGGGGGGACCTGGGAACACCAGCATTTAAGAGGTGGTTCCACGCTCTTCAAAACCTCCTGAACAGAGGCCTTGCTGTTGGACGTAGTTTATCGTCTTACCAGGACGCGAAAATATTTGACAGAAGGAAGCCACGTCACGTCGGTGAGAAAGTGACAGAAGTCGATTGCATTACAGACCCTCCTTTGAATTTTGTCAAGAATCTCAAGATATACAAAAGGAACACCAGACCAGATATGTCAACTGTATTCCATGCACGTACGAATGGTAGATTTGTATATTTGCAAAATGAATTCTGACTTGAACAAATTTTCTGAGACGACACAGTGAACCAACTTTCCTTTCAGTAGACGAAGCAATTGATTCAGTATAGTTGCTTCACTTCATGTCAGTGGAAAACGTGAGGCCAAGAAGGCGTAGTGTGTTGCTCTCCTGGAGTTTAACAACAACCACGCTAATGACAGACAGAAAAGATTCTCTGTAGTGATTAAATGAAGCCAGTTTTGTTTTGGAGGCGTTCAAATTTACAAGGCATTTCTTTGAGTCTAAAGACCTAACAAAAAATCTTAGTCTTCAATCTTTTTTCTTCCTGTATGATATTTAGTCTCCAGATATCAAAACCTTCTGTCATTTTTTAACAATATAATTGTTAAAAAATCCGCAGATAAATAAAATCAGATTCAAATGTTTCAAATATTAGTGACCTTTTCAGTAATTAATGAGTGTCCATTATAGTGACGAGATACGATGAAGTTTAGAAATCTATTGAAAGTGAAGATATTGAGTCGAGGACAGCAGAAAGATCGTGTGTTCATGGAACAGGTTTTCTGTTATAATGAAGGTCAATGAGTTTCTGTTATAAAGAAAGTTAATGGTTTTCTGTTATAAAGAAGGTCAATGGTTTTCATTATGTTCGTTGATTTGTCTATGTTACTTCGTTAAAGATTTCTTTGAACAAATTTCCAAGTCACACAGTTCTTCTTTGATAATCCACAAGCTTTTCGACTATTGACATTTCTATCAACCGTTTATAGGCACAGAAATTATTCTTTTGTGGGGTTTATGCATAAGAACTAAATAACAGAAAAACAAAATTAACGCATTTTATAGCATATAAAATCACACACATTTTTTATCTCCAAAAGCGGCTCAAAATATCTCCTGGATCTGAAATGTGAAGTTTACTTATCTGATAAGCTGATGTTTATCCAGACACAGTAGACTACTTCTATCTTAACTCACCCCACAATACTGTAATTTTAAATTAGGTACTTCCAAAGATTCGCAAAAAAATGAGCATACATGACGAAAAAATGCCCCCAAATTTAATAAAAAACGTTTTATCGTCAAAATATTTGTATTAGTAAAAGATCAAAGGATTTTTATGTAAAAATTACTTTTATAAAAATCATTTTAGAACCTTGGAAATTTTACTTAAAAAATATTGTTTTTCTGGTTTCAATGTAGACTATAAATTTCTATGGAAATTTGAGCATCTTTTTGCGGAGAAAAACACATTAATTTGAAAATTTTTGCAAAATCAGATAATTGTGGGATTTTAATGAAACTTTCGGGACATTCAGAAATGAATGAAATTATTTTTAAACGTGTTTTTTTTTTTAGAAAATCTAAACAAAATTATTTTTTACATCTGTTATTATTTAATTTGATAAAATCTCGAGAAATTCTTTATTGTAGCGCTTAATGTTTATGCAACTGAGCACTCATTCCCCTCAGAGCATTGATCCATTAGTCTCCTCAGTGTCATTTGCAAACTTTTTAAAGCTATAATCAACAATAGGGTTGAGTGACAAATAGTACAGGTTTCGATCGGCCCGGTTCACTGCTGATACTCTAATTGCCATTACTCATAGAATCAATGAAGCACTAGACAAGAAATACATCTCAAGGAAGATCGCATTAGATATTTCAAAGACCTTTGACAAAGTTTGGCATAAAGGGTTACTGTACAAACTCTCTAGCTATGGAATCACTGGCAGTGTCTTCTCAGTTATCAAGTCCTTCCTAACAGGAGGTCCAAGGGATCAACACAGGCGTCTCTCACGGTTCGCTTCTCGGTCCAACACACTTTCAACTTGACTTAAAGGATCTGCCTAAGACTATACCCCGGTCGTTTGTAAATATATATGCTGATTATACAACGGTATATGGGTGCACCTTCAAATTTCTAGATGACCAGAGTTTGGTAGCTGATCTCTCCTCTGACCTATCTCTAACAGTTCAGTGGGGAAAAACTGGTTAGTCGTGTTCAATGGCTCGAAACCAAACTAGTGACCAATTGCGATGAACGGATGTTCCCTCGGGGGACGGGGATAGCTTTGAGTGCCTTGAGCGCCTGTTGGGACTTAAACTCAATCTGAACCTCAAGTGAAGCTCGTACATGATATCCATCGCTAAAGATGCTGGAAAAATGGTCGGTTCTCTATACCGATTCAGTAAGTACCTGACTCCTTGATACTCTCTACCTTTACAAGAACCAAATCAGGCCGAAAAATGCGTACTCCTGCCATATATGGACAAGAGCTGACCAGTCTTCACTTTTCAGTTTTGATAGAGTCCCAAAACGTCTCCACGTCCTTGTGGGTGACAAATTATTTTCCATCGATTTCTCACAGACGAAGCTTCGCAAGCCTCTCGCTGTTCTATCGCTATTTCCATGGAAAGTGTTCAGAAGAACTACATTCCCTAGTTCCACCAGTTCTAGCTTTCTCATCTAAGATTCGCTATTGTAGCGAACCACCTTCATTCCCTTCGTATTCCATTTGTGTGACCTAAGTTCCACTCGAGCAGCTGCTTCCCAAGAACGGCTTTCTCTGTGAAACCGACTCCAAAGAGGATGCTTCGCAATTCACTAATCGTAATCTGTTCAAGTCTAGGTTATTTTCCCCACATATTCAGATAAACTGTGCCTCTTACTCTGTAATCCTCTATCTCGAGTGGCCCCAGGGCCTTGTACCGTGTGAACATCATTGTAAAAAAGAAAAATAGTTATAAAGTCTCGGAGAATTAAAATAAATGTTTTGGGCTAAACAAGAATCCCCCAGTTACAGAAAATCTACTCTAAATCGTAAAATAAAAAATGCAATAAAACTAAGACATTATTTCATTAGAAAAGTTTTTAATTGCTTTTATGAATAAAATATATTAAGGACACGAAAAAAAAGAATTGTTTTCATTTAAAAAAATGGTTACTTATAATAATATATAAAGTTTTAACTCTTTAAAATTTTTGTATTAATTCGTATGGTTCAAGCGAAATTGTTATTAAATAAATGTATTTACTAATCATAACTGGCAAAGCTTACTACAATTCAACCACTCAGAGTATTTTAAAAACAATTTTGAATTTATTTTTTGTGTTTGTATAAATGTGCCGATTTTTGGCCACACGGACATCAAACGAAAATAAGAACGGTAACTATTTGAAATGTAAAATTTATTGGTAATTTTCCTTAACAAGCGTCTTCGTTAAGTAAAGCTAGAAAGCCAAAATTCATAAAATTCAATAAAATATCAGAATACTTAAAATATTTTAAACTTAACATTACTTGGTAGTTAAAAAAATATGTAAAACAGGCGTTTACGTTGTAGTTGTCATGAAATTTCATTGGAATAATTTGCCCATTAGATAAATTTCCCAAACACTAGCTTGTCGATAAATATGGCACTACCACATAAAGACACCTACCTCCGTGTTAAAAATTATTTTCTGTGATATTTTAAATTGAAAGTAATATTTGTTTCAATTTAGATTAATTTTAATTAAACTTTGTCAGTTATTTTTTCTTAAATAACGTTTCAGAAAAATATATTTTTATTTTTAAAAAACAAATAATAAAGGGAATTATGTTGTGTTGACATATTTGGCAATATGGACGATTTTATCGATAATCAAAAAAAATCATTTTGATTGATTGATTGATTCTTTTTTAAAGCCAGAGAATATTTTTAAACTGTAAAAATTGTTTTGCGATAACAATGATTTTTAATGATACAAGTCTTACTATTTAACTCGTAGCTGAGGGAGAAGTGGATTCATGCCTTTTCCCAAGGGTATTTGCGCATAAGTGAATGTAACGAACCTAACTGAATTTGCAACTCGACACTTTGATTAACAATTTCGAGATAACCATTATACCACCCGCACACCCAAGCTTACAGCACACTATATTCCCAAGAGGTCGCCGTGATGTGATCGTAAGCCTCCAATCAATTTAAATACAGTTTGAAATATAGCAGAATATTTTGCTTATTGGAAATATTAAATTAAAACTATTAGTTTGGAATTAAAGGTAATATAAATGATTTAAGAAAGATTTTTAATTTTATAATGCATTTAAACCTTATGTATCGCTCTTTTTAAGCACCTATAATAAATATAGGTAGGTAGGTCTTGTTTGCCATCAAACACGTTCCGTATCATATCCGCCATTTTCTTTTTTATATTCTCAGTCTAAGATATTTTACCTACCCTCTTCTTTTTTATATAAAACGCAATGTCGAATTATTTTATATAGAACTATTAAAGTTCATGCGACGAGAGACGTGAATGAACACAGGTTAGTTTAATCGATTTATTTTCAGCAGTTTGGTCAATGACATTCAAACCCTTATCACAATGCATATATTCGACTGGTATACGTACATTTATTTTACTGTAGAATCAAGACGCAAGACACCATTTCTTTGTCACGATGTGTTCAGGAATGAAAATACTAGTTTTATTTGTTGGGCATGTCTATCTCAGTTTTCGTTAGAGAGAAGGCAAGTGACTTAATAGCCAGTCGAGTTGAACTAGTAAATCATTTCGTTGGCTCAATACTAACTCATTCCGGCCTTTTCGTTTGCGAGTAGCCGACATACTTTTTTTCCTTCTCTATTTCTCTCTTGATTGTATCTCCGTCAACAAATTTACGAGGTTAGCTGACGCAAATGATGTTGGGTGCCGTGGGAAAATGAAATCACTTAGTCTTATTTATTTATTATTTTTTCATTTATTTATTATGAATATTTCTTTTTTTCATTTTTTTTTTTTTTAGATCTTTTGAACTGGCTACAGAGAGAGATGACCGCTCTTGTTTTTGCTAAGACAATTGGACGAAAACTTTATTCCGGTTAAAATCAAACACTTCATAAACAAATACACACATCTGGAAATAGGTTTCTTTGACAAGGTAACCAAAAAGTCCTTTATTTAAAAAACAAAGGTATACAGCAAATTTGACATACTGTTAGTCCTCAAAGCAATCCCCATCGGTATCCAGGACCTTTTGTCAACGCGCCTCCAGCTGCACACCTCCCTGGCGGTAAAAATCAGGTGTTTTGAACACAAAAGAGTCTGTGAATGTCTACCACAAGTCTGCCCCATTTGCGAAGGATTTCCCTGGAAGATGGTTGTCCAAGGAATGAAAAAGGTGGTAATCTGTTGGTGCTAGGTTTTGAGAGTCAGTGCATGGCACTGTGTCTCCCGGCCAAGTCGCCGTATGGTAACCCTCACCATATGAGGTCTGCCATTGTCATGGAGGAACAATACACACTTGCAATTAACCGATGCTGGCTCTTTCTGCTTCTATGCCTGCTGCACACGTTCCAGCTACTGCGAGTACAGGTCCACAGTGAGAGTTTGGCCCGTTGGTAGCAGCACATAATGCACTGCTTGTCGACTAATCCATTAGATACCGAGCATGATCTTGCATGGGTGTAGAGGTGGTCTTATGGTATGAGGCACAGGGTCTTGTGTTGAGTGTCATACAGGACCCACTTTTCATCACTGGTGAGCACTCGATCAAATATGTATACGTTGCGGTGCCGAGAAATCAACGAGAATAGGCTCTCACTCGCTGTTGCTTGTTGGCTTCTGACAGTATGTGGGTTACCCACTTGCACAACTTTTACGCCTACCCTATGCGATACAGGTGAAGTCTGACTGTTATATCAGAAATCTGGAAGCGTTCGGCAAGCTTACTACATGTTTGGCTGTTGTCTTCCTCTATGGCCGCCTTCAGGGCCTCGTCATTGCTGTTATTAAAACCTATTTTTACACTTTCATAGTGTTTTGATCTCACTTTGGGGGTTAATTATTTGACCATAGTTGGGACCCTAACAGGTGCTACCGCTCCGGATCTGGGTGGACGTAGGAACACTAGCAATTAAGAGGTGGTTCCACACTCCTCAAAACCTCCTGATCAGAGGCCTCGCTGTTCGACGTAGTTTATCGTCTTACCCTGGAGGCGGATGTAGTTTATCGTCTTACTCAGGGAGTCAAAAGAAACAAAGCAAAAATAAATTTGTACATCAACGAATTCTTGATTGATTCGTTTTCTTAAATCTTTGCAGGTTATTTAAAACCAGAAAATATTTTTAGATTGTAAGAATTTTTGGAGAGATAATGATTTTAGTTATACAATTCTTACTAATTAACTCATATCTGGGGGTGGGGGGAGAAGAGGTGGATTAATACCTTTTCCAAGGTTATATGTGCGTAAGTGAATATAACGAACCCAACTGGAATTGTTTGAACTCGGCTCTTCGATTAACAATTCCGTGCCATTACCCGCACATTCAAGTTTGCAGAAATTGGTATTTCCAAGCGATCACCCATCTAGGTACTGACTAGGCTTGCCGTTGCTTAACTTCGGTGATCATACAGGAACCGGTATTTCAATGTTATATAGCCGTAAGCCTTTTTGATTTTTAAAATATATTTGTTTAGGTGTTTATTTTTATCATCAGAATCTCAAACATTTGGTGTGTGAGCTGTAAGACTTGGATTTACATTGGTGGAATGTTACAAAACTTGAAGAACCATTTATTAATAAATCTTCTGTCTGATCAGATTCTCACTTGTGAAACACTTGAAATAATTTGTGAAGCACTTAAAATGATTTGTTTTTACTTTTCAGAGACACTGACACTTTACACTCAGCTTTCGCTTTGTTTCCCAGTGGCCAATTCTTACTCATTGAGGTAGGCTCTTGAACTGACAAGGTTATCACTTGCAATAAAATAATCTATTCACACATGAGGACAAAATGCTGTATAAGATAATATAAAAAGGTAAGCAATAAAAACAAAAAGAAAAAAAAACAACAAAACGAACAATGATGAAAATATTAGCGAAGTTTTGTCTAGCACGAAATCTCAATGAAAGAAATTCCTAGTGAGGACAAACATTACTATAGTAAAGATTCATCTGCAAAACTTTTTATACCAGCCGCCCAAAACAACTGGCAGTGAAAACTCCTCAAAGATGAAGAAGTGACTTGAAGCAACATAGATGTGGTTCCACAGAAGGATGCTGAGGATACCATGGACCGAATATGTGAGCAACGACAGAGTTTTGGAGAAATAGAAACAAAAAGGAAACTAATAATTAACATCAGGAAGAGACAGTTAAAATTTCTAGGGAACAAAATGAGGAAAGATGGCTTGGAAAATCCGATACTCACAGGACAGATTTAAGGTAAGAGGTATAGAGAAAAACAATGCATAACATACTTAGTGAGCTTGACTAAATGGATGGCAGAACAAAGTTTAGGAGAAATAACAAAAAGGCAAAAGAGCTGGAAAGAGCAGGAAGTTGTGGAGAGGCATGATTGCCTACGTCCTGAGGAGGGACACGGTACGTTTACTGGGCCCAATTTCCTGGAGGTAGACAATGATTTTAACAGTTGACTAAATTGAATAAACCTAATTGACACAAATAGTGATACAATCTCGTCAAGATATTTTGACAAGTACACCTCAGTCCTCATTGAATGATCAATTCACTATAATTGAAGTAATATTGCTGCTTTATCTACCGTTAATTGTAATTAGGTTGAATATAATTGCTTACTGGATCTAGCACAGTAATAAGCAAGGTTATTTAATTTAAATTATTAATTGTTATTTTTATGTTTTTTTATAATTAATTCTTGGACACTATAATTATCAACACTCTACATGTGTTTATCAATCCCATTTAGTCAACTGTTTTATTAAAGTTATTTTCTTTCTAGTGTCCCGTGGGCCTGATAAACGATGGCCAGGCCACTTTTATGTGTTATTTAATTATTAAGTACTTATGAAACCAGTGATATCGTTAGGTAGGATTTACGAAACAGATACGCTCAAACCTTTATTCACTCACAGCGATTACAAATATACTGACATAGTGCGCTTACGAGATGACGTATCAAGACAGACATATTTGCAATCAAGATTTGATATGCTCTCCCCACGAAAGTGTGGCGATTACGTCCACTTGGTTTGTCAAGGCGCTCGTTAGGTGGCGCTGTTTCAGGATTATAAAAGCTCGGTGAGAATCTTCCTCTTCCTGCTAGAATGCGGTAGGTGGAAGACTGGAAAAGTGTACTTTTCTCGGGCGACGTGACACTCGAACACACATACACGCACATTACTGTTAACTCTATTAATGTTTTTCTTTTTCTGTTGTGTACACACTAATATATTTCCTTTTTGTCGTTAGTCATTTATTATTTATATAAAAATACATGCAGATATCGCCGTGTTGAAATTTATTCCTTTTGCCTCTACAAGTGATGACAGCCCGTCATTTACATGTGAAAATTTTGGTTGCCACTTTTTTTAGTTGAGCTAAAAGTAATGACCACAACAAAAGCCTTATAAGTAAACGAAGCTTGATTTTGTGACAGACTTTTTTTAGTGAAATTTGTTATATTTGTCACAATGGAAATTAATAAGTAATTTTTTAATGAAATTAATATTAAAAGTTATTGTGAAATTTAATTGTGATGCTGATTGTATTTTTTGTAATACCATACTGAAACTTTTTTAGTATATCAAATAAAAACGAAAACATCAAAGTCCTATTTATATTATCCACGAAGTACAAAAGAAAGAAAATGTCCGTTGTGCGATGGATAAATTGTCGTCTAAATTCCGCAAGAATGAAAATAACATTAACATATCATTTTCACAGATATATTTACCAAAATTGTACAAAAATAACTTGAAATACTAAAGAGTAAATTGATTTAATAAAATCGTTACTGGCTTTGACCACGGACTCCAGACAACTTCGGAATCTCCTGTAACTCTTCCTGACGGTTTCCTTGTTTAAGTTGGTGAATAATCCTTGCTTCAGTTACAAGTAGTTTTGTTGGTCTCTCGCTCAACTGCACCCCACGCATAATAATCAAGGGGGTTGAGTCTGGGGAGTTAGTTGCCCAGATGTAAGGGATGATGTGGTCGCAGAAATTGTCTGACAGCCATGATTGGGCTTTCCTGCTTGTGTGTCATGGTGTAGAGTCCTGTTACCAGACAAAGGGTCTTCCAACAGCCACCTTCTTGACCCAGGGCAACACTACCTCATCAAGACAATTGATGTAGGCCTCCTTAGTCTGAAACCTTGTGGGAAGATGAAAGGAAGCATAACATCATCATCACTAGTGATCCCTCCAAACACCTTTGTAATCACTAGCAGACTCATCCAACTCTTTTCAAATCCTCTGACACCCAAACACTCTGAAATATTCGTATTGGAGCTTCCGACGCGAATTTTAAGCAGTACAGAATGCCGGTTGCAAATTTCTGGCGGAATGAATTTCGTCTTGGTGCCTTTTTTCTCAAAGACGGTGTCTAACTGGCCCTGTTCTACTGAGCATGCGCAAAATTAAAAATATAAAATGGTGAGAATTTACACATCGCATCCTGTATATTCTTCACAAAATATCTGTGTACACTGGAATGTACCTGCTTAGTAGCGTTCGGTCGATTACCCGAATTATCCAGCAATTTAACCTGTCTATATTATTTCCTTTTGTGTTGGGTTTAGTTAGCGATTTCTTGATTATTAATTTATTTCAGCTACTTTCGCAGGGAATTAAAATTAAATTAAAAGCGATAACACCTGGACCTGTTTTGCAGCTAAGAGTTGTATGTTTCACAATGATGCCATTGGTCGGTGTTCAAGTCCGGATAAAAACCAGGATCTCGCATGTTGATTTTAAACCTTCAACCTACTACAAAGTTTCTTCCTATTTTATGTCGCGTGTTCCATCCGGAGTTAGGCGATCATGGACCTCCACATTTTCCTGTCCCTTGTAGCTCTTAATAAGTTTTGTCTTTTTATTATTTCTCCCAAATCCTGTTCTAATATCCATTTATTCAAGGTCATCAAGTATGTTTCACGCTACTTTCCTCTGACCCTTCTTCTCTCAATCTGTCCTGTGAGTATCAGATTTTCCAAGCCCTCCTTCTTCATTACGTGCCCCAGAAATTTCAACTGCCTCATCCTGATGTTAAGTATGAACTTCCTTTTTGGTTCCATTTTCTCTAAAACCTCGTCGTTGCTCACATGTTCGGTCCATGGTATCCTCAGCATCATTCTGTAGAACCACATTTCTATTGCTTTGAGTCTCTTCTTCATCTTTGAAGAGCTTGTCCAGCATTCGCTGCCATACAGAAGGACAGTTAGTTTAATATATTCCAATCCTTATCCATTCCCTTAACTTTGCGTATTATTAAGCTAAGCTTAGAGGAAGCGCTTATGTGACTTGTCTTGTGGCTGAGATAAATATATATTTCTAACTGAATCTGGTGTTTGAGACGAGGTATAAACGAAATATTCAAATGCTGATTTTCTCGGTAGCGTAACTCCCCCCACCACTTGGAAGATTGTTGTTACGTAATTTTTCAATTGACTATATGATGTTTTGTTTTGTTTTTTTTTTTTTGTTTTTTTATTAGGGGTTACTGAGTGTAAGGAAATATGTGAAGAAAACATTAGAGAGAGAACAGTAAAAGAACAGGAATTCAGAAGACAGAAGATAACAACTGATATTTCATTTAAATTTTTGAAGATCAAAGTTGACCGGAAAGCATGAAGCCGAAAAACAGTTCCACCAGCGAGAAGTGCGAGAGAAGAAACTATTAGCATAGAACTTACGGTTACCTCTCGCTATTTTAAGTGTAAAATTATGAGACCTTGCCGCCTATCTAGTATTACGCGTAAATTCATAAAGTCTAGCTATCAAAGAGGAAAGTTCACCAAAACAATTACTATAGAAAAAGCACAGGAAGGCTATGTCATGGCGGTGAGAAAGTGACTGCAGCCGAGATGGTCAGGACAGAAACATTGCAGATTCATTTTTGTATTTTATCAAGAATTTCTAAATCCATAGCAGAGTCTCCAGATCAGATATGGCAGCAATATTCAATGGATGGAATATTTATAAATGTGTAAGATAGATTCTGGCGAGAAAAATTGCCTGGCACAGCACAGTGAACTGACTTTCCTAGCAGCAGGCCTAGCAATGGATTCAATATAATCTTTCCACATCATGTCTGGAAAACGTTAGCCTGAGAAGGTACAATGAGTCACTCTCCTGGAGGTTAGCATCAGCCATGCCGATGGAATGTACAAAAGGTTCTCTCAAACGATTAAAAGAAAACAGTTTCGTTTTGGAGGCGTTAAAATAAACAAGCCATTTCTTGCTCCAGTTAACAATACATTGTAGGTATTTTTTTTAGGCCAGTTGCAAATTTGACCTTTCCGAATCGATCAGACTTAAGAGTAAATAGTTGTGTCATCAGCATAGATACTGAGTTAAGAACTGGTGTGATCAGGAAAGTCTTTGATGAAAATTAGGAACAACGTAAGTCCAATTAATGCAAAAAGATCTAAAATCATGGCCGTTCAAGACAACTTTCATT